ATCTCCCTTTATCCCGAAGTCAGCTGGGTCACATGACATAAGCTGATGGGGTTAGTCATGAACCCATCTTCACTTCTGGTTGTGTGTACAAGGGGAGGGAATCTCAGCAACCCTCTCCGCATTCTGCCTAATCCAATGGTTTTCATCAGTGCCAGTGTATTTCTGTGGGTGTGGTTAATATATTTGTTTATGTGTTGTTCTGGCCTCTGTGTTTAAGCATATAGGTACACATACACGCACCACACATACCTCATGCCAACCCACTACCCAACATAGGGTAATATTATCTACCCTGTTGCCTTAAGAAAGGATTTTCAGTGAACTGGAAGCTTATTATTTTGAGCCAGGCTAGCTGGCCAGTAAGCTCTTGGGATTCTCTACTCCTCAATGTTAGGGTTGCAGGCTTGCATAGCCATTCCAACTTTTTGTGTGGGTACTGGGTATTTTAACTCAGGTTATTATATTTGCAGAGCAAGCAAGTACTCTTACCCATTGAGCTGTCTCCCCAGCCCTATGAGAGTGGATTTTTGTTGTTGTCGTTGTTGTTGTTTGTTTTTAAAAAAGAATTTAAATCAGGACCAAAAATATATTTTGCTATAAATATATTCCACAAATAAGAGACTAAATTGGTAGTGTTCTTAATATCATATTGAGAAAACCTAAACTGACAGCCCGAGGGTAGTAATTCTACAATTGTAATTTTCTGTTTGTTTGCTGTATTCCTCTCTAATTGCTGATATCATCAAGGCGGCAATGATGTTTTATTTATTTTTATTTTCATATTGTAAATGTGTCAAATATATGTACATATTCAAAATGAAATGAGCAATATCGTTGAGCTTCAACCAATTAAATGCTAACCAGCTTGGATTAAAAGAAAAACAGGCCTGGAGTGTAGCTCAATTGGTAAAGCACTTGCCTAGCATATACAGAGCCCTGGGTTCTAGCCCAGTACTGTATAAACTGGTGATCCTGATGGAAGACTGTAATCCCTGCCCTGGGAGGGTGGCAGCAAGACAGTGAAATTCTCAGCTGGTGAGTTAGAGGCCAGCCTGGGATACCTGAGACTGTCTTGATAAAAACGGGGAGACACTGTTAGGAGAGCACAGAGACATCTCAACTAATTGTCAGCAGGAGCCACTAAGACTTCTATAGAGAAAGCACCAGGCCATCCCTAGACATGTCCACACAGGGGAGTTGCCAAGCCCTGTAGTAACTGGAGGATTGCCTATGGTAGTGCCTTGATGACACACTCCTGAGCTCTGTGTATCTGCTCTAAAATTTGACTCTCTAGGATGGAGAATTTGGTTGCTTCACAGGTACCTATCTGCTCCATACTACATTCATTGAGGAGTGAACTGCAGTATATAATAACATGTTTTTTCTCTTTTGAAAGCCTGCTACCCAGATACCAAGTGAATCACACACAGAGGCTTATTACTTATGAATGCCTGGCCTTAGCATGGCTTGTTCTAGCCAGCTTTTCTTAAATTAACCCGTCTGCCTTTTCCCTCTGGGCTTTTATCTTTTTTACTTCTGTATACCTTACTTTCCTTCTTACTCTGTGGCTGGCTGGCTGGCTGGCTGGGTGGCTGACTTACTGACCCCTGATGTCCTCCTCTCCTTGTTATCTAGGTCTCTTCTTCTATTTATACTCTTTGCCTGCCAGCCCCTCTTATACTTGCTCCTGCCTCGCTATTGGATGTTCAGCTCTTTATTAAGACCATCAGGTGTTTTAGACAGGCACAGTAACACAGCTTCACAGAGTTAAACAAATGCATCATATACAAAAGACGCACACCTTAAAATAATATTCTATCACAGCAGTATGGTATGGAAATGTACCCTGGAATAACTCTCTCTCTCTTATCTGTGGTGGATCTTCGTCGTTTCTCTTTATCAGTGTTTAAGATAATAATAAAAATACAAATGATTTCCACTCTCCACAGCTTGATATGGCTTTGTGAACAATCAGTACTAAGAGGATTGTAAAAGACTATGAACTGTACCTTATTCTGTCCATTAAGAGGAATTGTAGGTTTTCTACTATGTGAGGTTCAAAAAAAAAAAAAAAAGTGGACTTTTAAATGGCAATGAAATCATACTAATTTATGGAAAAAATCGTTAAATTTTAAAGAGATACCTCACTTGATTTAAGCTGTCCTGAGACAATTAATCTTGACCTTGAATATATGTGCAGCCATGTTTCAATGCTCATAGCCTTCAGGAGAGATAGGAAAAGCCATCTACCTAGTTATTTCCCAGTGTGCCCTGCCCTGTGTGCTCTACACCTGGAAGAGGTATGGCCGGTTGGTTGTGTTACTCAGTGGAAGGAATTGAATGGGAAGGACAATTACCAGCAGGAAGATCCCATTACTTACACCATGTTAGCTGATTGCTTGTTCTGTGTGTGTACAACTACTGAAGAATGGACTGGACTCCTGTGATTGTAGTCCTCTCACAATACTGTATGTTCAAGGCATCAGTAATGCTGTCCTAACAAAACAAATTCTTCATGTTCTATAGCACATTATAGTTGTAGATTCTCTCATGTTTATTTTGATTTAGTTCAAGTACTGAACAATCCAAAAAAAAAAGGTACCAAATGAGAAATGATACCTACACTTTTTTAAAAAATATGTGTACATGTTTATGTATACATATATGTATGCAGGTGTTTGTGCATGCAGTTGGAAGTAAGAGATCAGTGTTGAGTGTTCCTTCTGTAGTGATATATTGTTTATGATCTAATAAAGCCACTGAAGATCAGAATACAAAGCTAGCCACACTAGTTAGCTATAGGCAGTGGGCAGTGGGGTCACACATCTTTAATCCCAGGACTCAGGAGACAGAGTAAGATGTATCTCTCTGAGTTCAAGACCACCAGGGACTATATAAAGTTCACACCTTTAATCCCAGCACTAATGAGTATATAAGGAAGAAGTAAAGGGTCTCATGTGAGATTCAGTTTCCAGTCACAGGGAAGACAGGATCTCCATTTCAGCCTTGGTAGAGGTAAGAGCTACTGGCTGGCTGCTCTTTGCTTTCCTGATCTTCAGCTTGAACTCCAATATCTGTCTCTGGGTTTTTATTCCTCATGTAAGAAAATAAAAAGTTTATAGTCATCCTCCTCTACATAGGAAGTTTGAGGCCAACCAGAGCTACATGAAACCCTGTTTCCAAACAGAAGAAAATGATGACAGAGAGGCAAGGATCGTTAACATAGTCATATTTATCTTTTAAGACCATCATAATGTTGCCGTGTAAAGATGGACTTCAGTGAAGGTGCTGAGAAATGCTGAGATGGGAAATCAAATAAAAAGCTTTCTTTGGTAGGGGTGAGAAATGGTGGTGACCAGTATATAGGGTAGACTGGGAAGCAGTAAAAAGGCTTATGATATATATTGAATGTAGAGTAACAAGATTTGTTCATGGATTGGAAATACCACTTGAGAGATGAGTTTTTTAGAAAGACTCTTAGCTGTCCACCTATGCTTATGCCAGTGACCCTAATTCAATGCAGTTGGACACACACAGGTAGGCAAGAAAGTAGGAGAGGGGCTTCCAGGGAAGAAGAACAGGTTCAGTGGTGAGGAAGGGATGAGAGAATCATGGGGGTGGAGATGGTCAAAGTGCACTGGCAGATGAAATTTTCAAAGCCCCTTAGTTCTTGGTTGAACAGGAAGGCAAGTCTTCATAAGCACTCAGGTGAGGATCAGCTACAGAGTATTCTGGAGACTGAGTGGGAAAGTGAGTTGTTTTTCTCAAAATGCTTGTCAGATGTGCAATAGAGTACTTTAAAGTGGGGAGCTAGATGTGCAGATGGTGAGCTTGGGAGAAGACCCAAATCAGATGTGTCAATGTAGAAGAGGTAAATGTGGCCCTTGTTAGAGGAACCAGTCATCTTGTTGGGTCATTGGATCATACTGGAGAAGAATTATAAATTGACTAAAAACAGGCCTTGTAAGAACATAGGGACATGACTATGACTAAAGTCTAAAGCTGGAATGACATGGACCAGTGGACTTGTTACCCAGCTGCCAAGTCAGGTAAATCACCTTTCTGTGTTAAGACATCTGAGGTCTTATGTTTGTTTATTTGTCCCTGTTAGGGACTGTTAGGAGAGAACTCAGGCATCATATATTGGTCAGTAAATGTTTTAGGGTTGAACTACAGCATCAGATTTCGTGTGTTAAGCAGAAAGCATCTTTGTGAGTTTTCATGCTTTTATTTGTGAAAGATAAGACCTCACATTAAGTAAATCCTAGTTTGATTATATTGGTCCTGCATGATGGATGAATAGTATATGACAGTCATGATCTCCCACAAAGCACTGCCTACTGTTTGCTGGCAATATAGAAATGAGCCTGATAATCAGAACTGACATTGTAGCCATGGTTGTGTACCTGTTCCCCTGCTGATTAGATTCCAGCTTCTCCTGCTCTGCTCACATAAGATGATAAGCAGCACTCACATAACCACAAGGCATTGTCTCTCTGGACCTCTGCTTTCCCCATCCAGCACCCCTCCTCACAGTCAGCCATGACAGGCCTGTATAGATAGATATCTTGACACCCTTCATTCACAGAGAAAAGTTTGAAGACAAATGAGGAGGCTGGAAATGTTTCCAGTTCAAATAACACAACACTGTAAACATGAGTGTCACCTAGAGGCTGTGCTCAGCTGTTTGAAAAATTGACATTCCACAGTGCCGAGAGTTGACACTTTTATAAAATTATCTTCTCCAGCCTCAGGTGTCCTAAGCCGGATTTACTAACCCCTGGCTTCATCATTCCTTGTCATTAGTAATTGTATCCGTATCTTTCAAGTGCAACAGCTGTCCTTGTGCAATAGCTTTGCATGCTCCTTCTCCATATTCATGTTTAATTCTGCAGGGTGATGTGCACACTTTGAACTGTGAACTAAGGAAGTACTTGTAATTTGACACAGGAACTTGACCTTTTTCAAGTACTGATTCTTCCTATTTGACCATTTCATAGAAACGAAGATGCAGTCAATCAGATGGCCATTGTTCCCTTCGTGTTACCATCAAACTCCCCATCACCTGTTGAGGTAAGATTTCTTAGAAGATGCACTCAGAATTTTTCATTATTTCCATAAAACCATACTTTTTGATTTTTAGTCACGTACTATCTGTTAACTAGCAAATTTCTGTGTCTAAGATGGAAAGCATTTGAGGTATAGAAAGTCTTCCAAGGTATAAAGCAGTGTTCAATACATGCATGAAAATCAATTCACTGCTATTACCTCTTCAGAGTTAAAGAGTTCCTCAGATCTATTGGATGATCTAGCAGTGGCCATCTATGTACTCAAAACCCAGAGGACCCTGCAGCTGCTCAGTCCACAAAGTGGAAGACTCAGAATAAGGGGAACTACAGTGTAGTCCCAGGCCTTGGCTGAAGGTCAAACCCTTGGAACTGTTGGTGTGAGTCTGCCCTCAACTCTGATGTCCTCGGAGCACTACATCTGTGATAGACACTTGTCAGGAAGAATGGCACTTGAGCCTGTGGGCTGGTGTCTTCCTCTCTCTTTTCCTCTGGACACTCAGCTTGATGGATGGCTGCTGACTTTCCCATTTAGTTTCTCCTCTATAGATCCATCGTCTCTAGAAACATCCTCACATACGCACCCTGAAGTGTGCTTTAGTGGTCCTGTCTGTGAATCCAATCAAGACCAGCCACCATTGAATCAGAAACTATTCTAGCTGCAATTTTTATGTTTTAACAAGTTATTGTCTTAAAAATTGGTAGCAATAAACATTGTCTCCATTGTTGTAATGTCAACAGTTTTGCCAACACTAAGGTTTTTTGTTTTGTTTTCAATTTAATACCTCAGAGGCTCTGGAAATGTAGGAGTAGAATCTGTGCCTGGCATGCACTAACTAGGCCTTGGGTTCAGTAACTACAAGGGATTATGGAGGGGAATGGAGAAGAAAGATGTGGAATAGATAGACGCCACAGAAGCAGAGGGACAGCCCCATAGCCAAATCACCAGTTCAGATCCTGCAACTGTATGTGAATCATGGAGCCTTGACTCACCGTTGCAATAAGCCTTTTACCCACATTTTAATTTTTTTACAAAATAATGACAATAGCTTCTGCCTCATTGCTAAGATTAAATGACATACCTACAGAGTATATTCTAAGATAGTTGATGACTGAGACTGCAGATAGTACCATACTGTATACAAGCACCATGATTTCCTTGTTTTCCTTCTGTCTGGAATAGCTGTGAACATCAACCACATGATTCTTTAGGATGTCCCTGGACAGCTTCCTGCTCAGGGGCTGCACTTGACAAGTGATTAAGGGTGCTACTAGCTGTACCAGGTGCTATCTGGGTACTTCCAGTATTACTTTCATGACTTGTACATCCAGACTGAGAGGCAGTGTTGTTTTCGACCTTAAGAGACACAGGGGTTAAATCCTATACCCATGGCCCTTGCACAGGCATGCCACTGAGCATCACTCTTTGTGTAGACCTGGCATGACCACCAAGCCCTTGCCACGGAGTGAAAAGAGCAGTGCAAATGGAGTACTTAGTACAGCTCATGTCACAAAGCAAGCATTCAGCCTAGGTGAACCATTTTATTTATTTGAGTTTTAATTCAATCTTTATAGTATACAATACTAGCTATCGCAATTCATTTTAAAAATAAATGTGCTAAGCACAGAAATGGTTAGTCTCTGGTGAAAAGGAATTTAGCCACCTCTAAGAAAGATTTTGTTTCTTCTATCTTAATCTTGCTAAGTCACTTATTAGCCAGAAAATGTAACTTTGTGTCATTCAAAAGAGTATCACTGTCTTAGGAACATTTAGAAGGCTGATTTTGCCCTCTCTTTTCTTTTGAGGCATGGTCTCACTCTGTAGTCTTTCTTGGCTAGCCTAGACTATAGACAACTCTTGAGGCTTGTCTCAACTCATAGAGATCCGCATGCCTCAGCTGGGATTAAAGGCAAGCACGCCTAACCTGATTTTGTTTTTTATTTTTTTAAATATTTTTTTTATTTTACATATCAATCCCAGTTCCCCCTCCCTCCCATCCTCTCATGCCTCCCACCGCTCCCCCCATCCCATCCACTCCCCAGGGAGGGCGAGGCCTTCTGTGAAGATCATCAGTGAAGATCATCAAAAATCTGTCAAGTCATTTGGGATAGGGCCTAGGCCCTCCCCCATGTCTCTAGGCTAAGGGAGTATCCCTCAATGGAAATATGCTCCTGAAGTCTGTTTGTGCACTAGGAACACATCCAGGTTCCACTGCCAAAGGTCCCATAGACTGCAGAGTTCGCCTAGCTGACACCCACGTTCAGGGGGCCTGTTTTGGTCCTATATTGGTTCCACAGCTGTCAAATTGGGGTTCATGAGTTCCCACTTGCTCAGGTCAGCTGTATTTGTGGGTTTTCCCAGAATGGTCTTGACCCCTTTGTTCCTCACTCCTCCCTCTCTGAAACTGGATTCCAGGAGTTTGACTCGGTGCTTAGCTGTAGGTGTCTTCTTCTGCTTCCATCAACTACTGGATTAATGCTCTAGGGTGACATTTAAGGTAGCTTCTCCACTATTGCTTAGATTTCTAGCTGGGGTTATCCTTGTAGATCTCTATACAATTCCCTAGTGCCAGATCAATCTCTCTCTCTCCTTCCTCCCCTCCCCTACTTCCTCCCTCCTCCTCCCTCTCTTTGGTTTTTCAAGACGGGGTATCTCTGTATTGTTTTGGAGCCTGTCCTGGAACTAGCTCTGTAGACCAGGCTGGCCTTGAACTCACAGAGATTCCCCTGCCTCTGCCTCCCAGGTGCTGGGACAGACTTCTTTAAACCTACAATGGCTCCCTCTGTTGATGTGTCTCTTTCCTTGTTCTCCTCTATTCATCTCCCCTTTGCTTTTTACGTAAAGTAAGCTGCTAATTTGTATGAAGTAGAAATTTGTAATTTTCAAGATCCTCATCACAATAGCTGAATCACTTGTAGTATGCCATTGTCAGCATTTCATTTGAAATATAATTAAGTCACAACTAAGTGCTTATTTATTTAAGAGAATGAGGCTTGGCTGAAGAGGTAGCTCAGGGGTTAAGAACACTGGCTATTCTTTCAGAGGACCTGGGTTCAATTCCCAGAACCCACACAGCAGCTCATGACTGTCTGTCTCTAGTTCCAGGGGATCCCACACCCTCACACAGACATACATGTGGGCAAAACACTAATGTAGATAAAATACAAATAAATAAGTTGTTTCAGGGTGGTGGTGGTACATGCCTTTAATTCAGCACTTGTGAGGCAGAGACAGTTGGATCACTGTGATTTCTGGGCCAGCCTGATCTAGGACAGCCAGGGCTGTTACACAGTGAAACCCTGTCTTGAAAAACCAAAAGAATGTGCCTCTGCAATTTCTGTTACAATGTTGCCATTTAAATTACATTCTTCAGAGCTGTTAGTTGTCTGCACTGCTTTCTCTAGTGAATGTCACCTACAGAAGAATACCCCACTTTGGGAATGAAGTTTATGAACTCTCTTCACCACTCTGTCCTTATTTGCCTACATGCCAATCACTGTGCCTTTCCTATAGGCATTTCTGTGAGTGTTCAAGCATAATTTATAAGGTGTATGACAAAAAAGAACCAGTTTAAACCATAAGCTATATATTAAGTGCATCCATGCCACTGTTAAGTTGAACCTTACAACAATGATTCAGCCTGACTTTTATTGCATGCTAGTGACTTCTCACATGCCTTCCCTTATTTGGCAAATGTTTAGTAAGCTCTTATGTCTGGCATAGTACTAGCCAAATTACTTTGCACAGTTATACACTAGTACAGTCAAACAGAATTTACTAGCAGAATTTTGACTGGGAGTGTGATGGTTGGCATTGGTCATGTGACCTTGATAAAGGCATTAACCTCCAAAGCCTCTCTTTCTCTGTGAAACCTCTTCTAAGTATATCAGAAGGTAGTAATGAGAGTCAAGTTCTGAGTCAGGAGAGTCTGCACAGCTATACATGTTTCTACAGCATTGTTAGCATTTCTGTACAGCACAGTTGGCCACAGTGACACCACTGCAGCATTATATGGCAGTGGAAACACAAACTCAGAAGTCAGGCAGATCTCAGCTCTGCTCTTCATCCTGAAAGGATTAATACTATGAAATGCTGAGACTAATTGAGGCATACATTGGGAGTTTATATTGGTTGTACTCATAGTTATCGAAGTCTCTAGCATACATTCCAGCTTCTGGCATCTTCCATCTTCAGTGATTATGAACAAAAAGATTATGAATTAACAAATGAAAAGTGTGTTTACCAGATTCAAAATTGGTTTTGGAATATGGGTACATTAAGGGGTGACTAATCCAAACAACATGCATTCCTTTACATAGATGCTTTGTGGGTGTGCTAAGATTACTTGAAATCTCTTAGAGTGCTGCATGCCCATAATCCCAGCATTGAGGCCAAACAAACAAACAAAAAAAGTGAGTTTAAGGCTAGTTTAGGCTATATAAGATCTCCATGCTAACCTTGGATATATTACAATATCCTAACTCAACATCTAAAAAACAAGCAAACAAACAAACAAACAAAAAAAAACGCTCAGGTTTTCAAGATTGCAGGCATTATTATTTTTAATTATAGTCTTATACATATTTGCCCAACGTAACTGAAATTTGCTTAACCCTACTCCTAGTAACCACCATTCTACTCTTTGCTTCTGTGAGATTTAAAAAAAAAAAAAAAAGTTCGCAATCACAGTTACGTGAAATCATGTGATATTTTACTTTAAACACCTGGCTTGTTTCACTTAACAAAGATCTCCATGTTTACTTACTTACTCATCACAACCATTTTCTTTAACACTAGTAAATTTACACAGTGTATGTATAAGTCTCATTTTCCTTATCCAGTCATCTACTAACAAATGCTTAGCTGATTCTATTGGTCATTGGTGATATTAGTGCAATGAACGCTGGGTGTATTAATTTCTTTGTATAGACTTAAAACATGTATTATCCTGCCAGGTGTGGCGGCACATACTACCAACATTGGAAAATAAGCCAAGAGAATCATGA